TACCCTACAGAACTGAGCAATTGCCAAATACAGTTTTGGTTGTTTACCTTGTCTAAATCAGGAATGTGTGTACAGAATGAGGCCAGAAGGACAATGCATCAGAACTTAAATTGTTTGGGGATAGTCTGAGGATAGAAAAAAGATTCTAGATATAAAACAGTGCTCATTAAAAGGGTAAAACATGAGTAATATTTATTTTCCTTCTAAAATTTAAGTGCCATCAATTTGTTTTAATATGCAGAAAGAGTATTTACAAAAATCCAAAAATCCCCCTGGCAGAGGCAGAGTTTGCTGCTACTTACATTAAGGTACCAGGAGCTCATAATTTTAAAAGTTCGTAGGCCACCTCAGTAATGTTATCTTTGGCACCCAGAACAACAATTCAAGATCTTTGTCACTGTTGGGAAGAAATATTTTTTCTTGTTATTATTGCTACCCACCAAATCTTCATTCCTCTTTTTCTTCTGCTCAACAAGAAACATTCAGAATTGTCAGCAAGAGACTTTCAGAAGATGGCTTTTCTCTGAGCCAGTCACAGAGAAAAAGGAAGATCTTACGACAGCCATATGGGTACCAGAGATTTTTCCTGTCCCTTGGCACCTAGAAGCAGACCCTGGAGACACCCCATAGATAAGTTTCTCTGTAATGTGGATTGGAACACAATTTACCCATGTTTTCTACAACTGTGACTACCTTTGTGCTGCTGTTTTAATTTCTATGGTGCATTTACAAGAAAAAGATGGTATTTGCACACACTTGGAAAACTTGATTTCAGGGAGTGAATAAATGTTGAGGAGTGTCATCTTTTTAATAGACTACATCTGAACAAACAACTGGACCAAGCCATCTGTACCTGGGAGCACGTGTGCAGAGGCAAAAAGGTACAAACATAGGGCAGAGAACTGTGACTAGGAGAATACAAAAAGTCTTGTGGAATGTGCAACAAAGAGATGAGAAAGATGGGAAAGATTGAAGTGGGAGAGGCAGATGGGTTAGCACAGCACACATACAAGAACAATATTCCTACATCTTTGAGTATGTGTTTGTCAGGGCCCTGGACAGCCACATCTGGGGCCCCCACTCTCTCACCCCGCTGCTCATCAGCCCATCTAGGTTCAGGTGTACCTGTCTCCAGCCCTTCCTCCTGGATGGACCTTGGGCTACATCATAGCAGTGTCTGGCCTCTCAGGAGTTGTCCACTCACCCTGCCTGGGGCTGAATCCTGTATCACCACTGCCAGGCTCTGCCCTCTCTCTCTGGATCCTGTGGAATTATGTTCTGACCTGGGAGGGCCTGTGCTGGGGGCATCCACTTTGCTTCCTTCATGGAACAACGTGTTCTTGCTGCTCCCTGAGAATATTAAGCCAGTCACAGCCTTGAGGGGCATATACAAATCATAGAATCACAGAATGGTTTGGGTTGGAAAGGGCCTTAAAGATCATCTAGTTCAAATCCCCCTGCCATGGATAGGGACACCTCCCACCAGGCCAGGTTGCTGAGTTCCCATCCAACCTGTCCCTGAATTCTTCCAGGGATGGGGCATCCACAACTTCTCTGGGAAATCTGTTCCAGTGCCTCACTGTAGGCACACAGTTTGTGGTGAGTGGGAGTGGAGCTGTGGCCAAGCCTCATCCCCAGTGGGCACAGCTGTGAGCAGCAGGTGAGCAGCACTGACAGCAATGAGCCAGGGAGTGCCCAGGTGTGCTGAGCAACCACCAAAGGGAACAGAGGGCACACAGGTGCAGTGCATGAACATGAGGGGGATAAAAGGCTGGGCTAAAGAACAAGAAGGGTAGATGCTTGCAGCTTTCTGATGTGGTATGGTGCTATTCTGTATGGGTTGAAGCTTTTCTTCATGGTGACATTCTGTGTGTGTTATGGCTGTCCTGACTGTGACATGTGCTGTGACACCTCACTACCCTCAATGTAAAGACTTTCTTTCTAGTATCTAATCTGAACCTATTTTTTTGTTGTTGTTGTTGTTTAAAGTCATTCCCCCTTGTCCTGTCACTACATTCTATAGTAAGAACTTTCTTTCCATCTTTCTTGCAGGCTCCCTTTAGGTACTGGAATGCTACAATGAGGTTGCTCCATGTTCTCCAGGCTGTACAACTCCAATTCTCCCAACCTTTCCTCATAGGAGAGGTGCTCCATCCCCCTAATCTTCTTGGTGGTCTCCTCTGGACTCAGTTCAACAGGCTGATGCCCTTTCTGTGCTGGGGATGCCAGAAATTGCAATGGCTTCTCAGACACTCATCAGTTGGGTGGTTGTCATTTACCAACCACTTCTGCTGACCCTGGCTGTTAACTTCTGCAGAAGATCTTGTGTCCTTCTGACACTGAAGCTGGAACATGTCAAATGCGTATCAGTGAAAACCTTACTTCATAGAAACTCCACTTTCTGTAATTTCATGGGTTTTTTTGCTTCTTACATAAGAAGAGATTGCATCCCTAAGCTGTCTTTGCTACTGATAAAAATGGCATAAACTCATGACCTAACAGATTGCTTCTATGCTAATGAAAACTAACTGCTAGAGACACCTAGATTAGTCCTTTTTTTTTGTATGAGACTTATAAAGTTTATCAAAGCCAAAGTAAAATTGAAAATAATCTACTCACGTTCAGAAAAAAAAACTATCATTTCAATATAGAGTGGTGGGGTATTTCATCAGCAATGAAATGTGTTGAAACTGTGCACAAACATTTGACATGGTATTTCACAATATCCTAAACAGCATCTGCATTTGTAAACAGTATTTAGGGAGGCCAGGCTTGCTAATACTGAGACGATGTTATCTGCAGAAATGCCAGACTAATGCTTACTCTTGCTAAGCACACATTCCCTTATGAAAAGCCTGAAATTTTAAAACTTAGGCTCTTCTGAATCCTCCAAATCCAATGAAATCTGAACAAATATTTCATTTGCCAGTCAGCTTGACAATAGTGAAAGAGCATTGTGCTCTTGGTATGAACAGCTGCAAAGCACGGACATCCTCTCCTGACAAGGGTGCTTGCCATTTGTTTGCTGTGATATGCCGATGTGAGAATTCACAAGCTAGAGCTTGTGAAATCAAATTTCCACTGAAGGGAATTAAAGCTGGATTTGGCCACCTATATTTATTTACCACCTTGAGCTGCAGACTGAGTAAGTGCTTTTTGTTACTGTTGTTGTTTGCGCTGTATCTGGAGGGATGCAGTCACCACGCTGAAGAAATGGAGAATGGGCTAAGAAAAGTAAAGCAGCCTCAGGTGTAGTTTCACCGTTTGGGTTTGCTGCTTTTACAGTACAGCCTTTTTCTTTTTCCACTCCTCACCAGCTGTGGTCCCATTTCTGAGCCCACCTCTATCATGGACTTTCCCAAGTGTATTTTCATGGCTACACAGAAGCCTGTATTGGTGTGTCCAGTCTACACACTGATCACAAAGGCTTTGCAATGGGGCCGTGTCCATCTCTTCCCGGAGAAAAGGAGGCTCAGGAATGACCTTGTCCCCCCTAAACTCCCTGAGAGGAAGGCGTAGCCAGGTAGGGGTCAGGCTCTTCTCACAGCATAGGATGAGAGAACTGGCCTCAACTTTAACCAAGGTGTGAAAAACACTTATCACTTGGTTTTTAAAATTTTTAAAAGTTTAATAATAATAAAATTGTTATAGAAATAGTAATACAATTAGAGTAATAAAGTTTAGAGTTAGGACAATTACAAGACAATAAAAAGTAAAGAATTATGGATGTTAGGATGCTCTTGGACACTGTCACGAAAAGCATACCTTTTGAACAAAGGAATAATTTTAAAAGCAATAGCCTGTTGCGTATTCATATATCTCACACATGATGCATAAATGTCTTGTAAAGTAAGAACTTTTCTGGTTTTTGTCAACTTCTCTTTAATCTTGTTGGTTCTAAAAAGATGGAGAGAAGGTGGAAGAATGTTTGTCTTTTCTGATAAGGAGGCAGTAACTTTTTATGGGCCCTGTTCGCTGACATCTCTGTGTGAAGAGATTGATTCTCATCTTCTCGCTTGAGCTTGTAACAAACATTATATCGCAGAATTTCTATTTTAACCTTATGTTGTAACCTAAAGCTGTTTTTAACACACTACTTAAGAGAATTAATACAGCATAGGTTTCTAACATTACACATATAATATTCATTGTAACATTTGCGAAAAGCCAATCATAAAATATGCATTTTTCATAAAGGGATGTTCAGGTTGGACTTAGGAGGAATTTTTTTCCCGGAAAAGGCTGACTAAACATCGGAATGGGCTGCCCAGAGAGTTGGAGTCACCGTCCCTGGAGCTAAGGACCGGATGGGGCTCTTAGTTGATGGAGGTGTTTGGTGAAAAGTTCGACTCTATGACCTCAGAGATCTTCTTCAACCTTATTTATTCGCTGATATGCTTATGCTACTGAAAGCACAAATTACATATGTGTGTGTGTACCAAGCGTGTTCCCACAGCCAAATGACGCTGAGGAGGGCAGCACGGCAAAGCCCGGCTGCCCCCTCAGCTCGGTTCTGGCCGGGTGCGCAGGACGCGGCAGCGCAGCGCAGTCCGGCCCTGCGCACCGGCAGGCAGCTCCCGGGGCAGGGAAGCTTCCCCTGGAACTCCCTCAGCAGGGAAGCTTCCCGTGGAACTCCCTCAGCAGGGAAGCTTCCCGTGGAACGCCCGGAGCAGGGACGCTTCCCCTGGCACACCCCCAGCACGGCCGCTTCCCGCGGAGCTCCCTCAGCCGCGCCGGGGGCGGGGCGGCGCGCGCGGCCGAGTGTCGGGAGCGCGCGCGGCCGAGTGTCGGGAGCGCGCGCGGCGGGCGGCGGGCGGCCGCCATCTTCTCTGCGCGTCCGGCGGGAGCGCTGCCTCTGCCCCCTCCTCCTTCTCCCTCCTCCTCCTTCTCCCTCCTCCCACTACGCTCCGCCGTCGCCGCCGGTCAGGAACGGGGCGACCGGGATAGCGAAGGCCGCAGGGAAGGCGGGGGACGGGGGAGCAGCCCCGCGGGGGCGGGCGGGCCGCGGGGCGCCAGCCCGGGGGGTTCGTGCGGCCCCTCCGCTCGCCCTGCCGGCCGGCCGGGCCCCGCTCCCCATGGGATAAGCTGTAAACATGTTCAGCTTTGAAGGCGATTTCAAAACAAGGCCCAAGGTGTCCCTCGGAGGAGCGAGCAGGAAGGTAAGGAGCGGCGCCCGGCCGTGCCCGTGTCTGTGTCGGTTCTGTCGCCCCCCGCCCTGTTATCGGTGCTTTTACTGTCGGGCCTTCTGAAATGGGAGCAGCGATGACTAAGGTTTAATAGAGGAGAAAAACCCTCCCCTCCTGATGATGTGTCTATCTCTGATCTCCCTGCCTCACTGTTATTATTAATTTTTTTTGTATAGTCAGGCCACACCATGCCAGGCTTGTAGTGTAGTAAGAATTGTGGGAAGCGAGGAAATGTCTCCTTGGCTCGTCCCCCCGCCGGCGGTCGATCCATCCCGGCTGTCGTGGCCGGTGGCACCTCCCCAGCAGTCGCTCTCCAGGGGGAAAGGACTCGGAGACCTCCTGTCATTTCCCTGCGGTGGGGATGTCTGGCGTGGACCTGCCCATCGGGGGATGTGGCACACACACAGCCTCGCACAGCCCCAGTTGCCGGGGCAGGTTCATCAACGTGAGCCGGGGCCGCCGGGTCGGTCTCTGTCAAGTTTAGGTTCGGTCAGTTTGTTGTGCGCAGGGTTGGTAACAGTTAATTGTCAGCTGTACCAGACTGTTTGATCTCCTCGAACAGTGTTTATTGATGGGAAAGAAGCAGGATGATTTATTCAGATCTTGCTGATTGGACAGGGTAAGCAAATGTTTAGTCGAGCGCTGAAGGGCACAGGACTTCGGAAGAACGACAGAAAGGACAGAGTGTTTTTAGAAGTGGCCTGATCTGTAGGGGTCACTTTAATTCACTGTGAAAATACTAAGTCTCCTCGTTGTCATTGGAGATGACTGTGTGGGAAGCTAACGAGTGTTTCCATTCCTATTTTTGAATTTTAATTAGATAAATAAGTCTCAAGTTTTTATTACTGTGCATTAAAAGCACGTTTGATTCTTGGAAACTTTTGAGGTTTGGCAGTACAGTGAGGAAATGAGGAAAAATATTGCAATATGTGATAGTAAAATCACAGTGAAGTTTGCATTTTGGCATAATAAAAGAAATTACAAGAGATTGTATACAGAACTGTATTTAGATTATGCAGCTTTTCCTCTGATTCATCTTCTGTTTATCTTAAGACATGTCTGTTCATTAGGCCATGTAAACTGGCATTACATGAGTCAAAATGCCATAAATACTCCCCAGCTTAAGTAGGAGTTGGCAGAACATGCCCTGGTCCTCAGCTGTACACTTCAGGTACTTTGCAACTTTTGACCCTGACTTGCTCGTAGTGTTTCTTGCTGAACATTCTGCCTCCTACAGTAGTAAACAACGGCTATAACATCTTCTTTTACACTTAGCAATTCATGAAAATGTATCAGAATTATGTCTATTGTAATTATATGGGACAAATTTATTAATGTTATGCAGGCATACATTTCCAAGGGCAAATATTAGCATGTAAAGGACTGGAAACTGAAATTGATGCATAACCTTCACTGTGTGCAGTGGAGGTTGTGGTTCATGACAAGATTGATACTGACTGGTGCACAGATTTCATGATTCTACATCAGTTCACCAAAGTGCTTGTGCTGCATCAGTGCAAATCACAGGCAGCTTTGGGCATCATGGTTACATAGACATCCTAGAGTGTCCTTGAAAGAGCTTGAAAGATTTTCAGAAACCGTGTACAGTACTAATGAAAGAATTTTTTTAAGAAGTACTAAAAATTACTTGTAAATGCAGTTTAGCTGAACTTCTGTGAAAACATTCTACAGCAGAGATTACTGTGGGAAGTGTTTGTGGGTTCCGTGTTATGCCTTAAGATTTTAGATTTTGTATTTTTCAAATCCTATACTGCATTAGGGCATAGCTTTAAACTCCTTATAAAGTGTAGTTAACTGTCTTCACATTTTGGTTAGACAAAGCAATCCCTCTGGGCCTGTTATCCGAGGACACCCTACAGCCTCAGGCCCCAAAAAGTATAAACAAAAATGATTTGGGTTGGAGCAAACTGGGGGAATAGGATTTCATTATCTGAAGCTGTAATTGGAGGTCTAACCCCTGATATGTAAATAGACCAAACTTGTATCAGTCTGAAACTCATGATCATTGTTCATTTTGGATGTAGCCCCTTGGGAAGGTTTTACCTGCTCTTAATGTACCTGAAGGCCCTTCATTGAATATATCTGCTTTTATCTTTTGACTTTGTCTGATGTCTGTTTCTAGGTAAGCCTGAATTAGGCATCATGTGAGTTTCTCATTTCACATCATAGGTTCCTTGGGATCAAATTTCTCAGATGTATAAGCTTCATTTTTATAGAAAGCTGAATCATTAATTGTTTCCTTCCAGATTTTGGTACACATACAAAAAAACCCTCATTTTTTTTGACAAATGCCCTTGCCCTCCTAAATGGTGTATTCTTTAGAAGCTGTACCTTTGATGTGCTTTTGGCAGCTAGTTGCATACTTAGTGCTGCCTATCGTGATTCCTTTGGTAGAAGAAGGCACCATTCCGAAACACTGGAGCCATGCAGGCTGTTTAATGCTAAGAATAACTCTGTACCCACTTTGGGGAAGTTTCCCAAACATAGTTGCACCACTGCAGAACAATGACAAAACCTCCTGTTTGAGGAGCCAGTCAGTGGTAAAGGTGCCAGTGGGGCCTGAAATGAGTGCAACTACACCAAAATAGTGATCAGCAACACTATTAGAAGTGTGGTTTTGCTGATGGAACTGCAGCTGCAAACAGTGGCTGTGTTGGGCACACTCACATGTGCTGACACCTGTCTGGCACTGCTGTGTGTGTCTGCAGTGTTTCCTTAGGCCTCACAGGGGGCTGACTTCAGTACTTTCTATCAGTAAGAGCACAATGATAGGAGTAAAACTGGGCACTTGCATAATTGTGGCATTAAGGTACTGAATCTAGTGTGCCTTCTCATCATTAGCTTGTATGGCATTTTTTAATTACAAAAACAGAGAGCTTTGGGTCTGTTTTTAGCTGTTTGCATCTTATATCATGTGTGTTATGGTTGGAATTGTGTATGCTCTTGAGAGGCACTTCATTCCACCCATATCAAGCATCACTTGTTTTTGTTCTAGTCACAGGCTGCAAATTAATATTCTCAAAATTACTACCTCAGTGACTGATCCTTTCAGAATATTATTGTAGCATTATAATAACGCATTGTACAGAAGTGCAGAAATGTAGGTGCTGTTGTCGGTGTTTGAACTTTTCCTTCCATACCTACTTTCAAGAATCTGCTGATTCATCTGGACTTTTTGCCCTGTTTTATGTGTTTGAGTGTGTAGATACAGGACATTAGCATTATTTACAATGTGATAAACTAATTTTAGAGGGTTTTATTTATTTATTTATTTTTGGGGTAGTTTATCATCACCTTTAAAACATGGTTCTGTGTGTTATGAGGCTCTTCAAAAGAAATTTTCAAATTTAGTTTAATTGTAACTGGCAGACTGTATTTGTGCTTCTTAGGTAAAGCAGCCTCCAAAAATGAGTGCTGTTACTAGAGTTCAGTATGGGAACATCTTGAATTACTCATGGACATTTTGTAGAGGACACAATTGTTGCCTGGAAGGCTGTGGCTGCAGAGAGCCTGTGGTGTGTTAGGCAGGAAATGCAGATCTGTGCATGAAGAGTTGGCTTGGGGTGCAGCTCAGATTGGCCTCACCCAACCCAACTGTGAGAGGACTGGAGCAGATGGTGCCTTCACCTGGCTGCTTCCCAGCCCATCCCTGTGTCCCGTGCAGTGAACATATTTCTGCTAGGTGGAGTGTCACCAGGTCTTTTGGGGACAGCTGTCAGCTTTCACTGATTTTAGCGTGAGGTTGAACACAGCACAAAATCGGTTTAACCACGTCAGCCTGACTTGGGACTGTCAGGCCTAGTGTTACTTCATTCATTTCAGTAATATTAAGAAAAATTTGAGGTAGCAATGCTTTAGTGCATCCGTGCAAGGGATCCCCAGGCCAATGCTGGAATGTACAAGGGGCTCTGTACCTCCACATTGTTTGATTACATTGTGAAATGTATGAATGACACCTTGGAAGTCTAACAGGAAAAATGTGTGAAAGAGTATTAAGTCAAATGTACAGTATCACTTGAGCTGTCTAAACCATACTTTTACAAATCCCAAGACTGTTTAAAATAGATGATTTTTAAATGATAATGCATTATGCGATAATTTCAAAACCCCTCCTTTTTCAGCATTTGTAATACGGATGAGTTAGCAGGGTCATGAAAGTGAAAGTGAAAACACTTCATTGAGTTTGGGGTTCTTTTTGGTCTTTGCCTTTTTTATGGGAGACACAGAAGCTTACTAATGAGCAAATATTGATGACTCCATCTGTATTTTAAAAAGTCTTACTAATTTATTTTAATATGGACATTTTACTAATAAGAGATATTAAATTTACAAAGTTTGTTTATATTTTAATTTAGTAGTTTCTGATTTGCTTTCTTAAATTAGTAGCATGACATTAAGCATTAGATTCTTGTTTATATTTCCCCCTGCTTTCAGCTGAAGTGCAGTGTTAGAACTCCAGAAACACCTTGTTTGCTCTTTGTTGTCTGTAGTCTACACATGAAATAACTTCTTGTGGAATTATAATTAAAATTTTACAAACAGTAGGGTGTAAAATTGCCAGTGCATGGAGAGATCTGTCCATGTTGGGATTGATTGTTATGGTAGATGCCTGTAGGATATAAGCATTGATGGGGCAGTTAAAAACCAGTTTTATTTCTCTCTTACTGATGGATTGAGGAAAATAGTTAATAATTTTAGGAAGGAATATTTTCTATTTTATTATAACTTATTTAACTCTACATCATGCCACAGTGGAGGTGAAATGATGGTAAGGATTTATTGTATGGGAGTTCTAGATTACAATTACAAATTGAGTATTTATTTTGAATGGAAGGAATTGCAGTGCTTGGCTACTAAGACCTTTGTCCTGTTGGGCACATGGTGTGCAGCTACACACCTCACTCTAGAGTCAGCTTGAATCTTGCAGTGTCACAGCCTAAGCCTTGAAATAC